TTTTTTTCGAGCCGAAAACTTGGAAATAGGAAATCCTACGAACAAAACGTTTGCTGATTGGCTAATTCGTTCTGCCTGATAGAATTGAGATCACATGCTTTCCTATAGTCAACATYATGARCTGAAACTTCACCCTCTTACTAATGTTGAGCTGATCTTTTCACTTCTAAAGTTCGTTTTCACTTAACTGTTCGTCAAAGGGAGGTAGGGTCAYGTGACTTGTTCAGTGCAAGTCTCCTATTGCTAATTCAATCTAACCTYTTTTGCGAGAATTTTCATTGTCTGTTGCCGCTTTAATTTGCTTGGAAGGGTGACCTTGAATGGTTTTGATTCTTTTACGAAAAGAATTTACTGGAAAAGGTCAAATTCTGGTCCGTCCTACGAGCACGTACACGTTCTGTGCTCAGGACATAGTGTTGTGGCACAATATTAAGATTTTTCTGTCAGTACGTACCAAAAATATTYGTTTTAGACTAAAAGGCCTTTTTACTGAAATGGCGGCCATCTTGAATTTTGGGTGATTCAGAGGAGACAAAGGTAGAAAATCTAAAAAAATTCCGTTTTCAAATAACTTGAAGTTTTAAAGTTCTTTTCATTGAAAAATGTAAGGTTATATAAAAAGTCACACTGACAGCTGTGCAGTCTATCAATTTCCCAGTATTTGCTCCCTCGACTTCCCATAATGTCTTAATTAAAACCGGATTAGAATTCAAGATGGCCGCCGTATCGGTACCTATCTTCTGGCTGCCGAAAATCCTTCTTAAATACTGATAAAACTATTCAGAATGCACTTAAAGGTATCATCAAAGTTTATTAGTGCCTATGAAAAAGGATTTAGAGTCAATTTATGGTTTTAATTATCACTGATAGCAATAAAAAATTTGAARTCACATCTTTAACGCATTTACTTAAAGAATTCAAGTGAGATATCTATAATATTAATATAAAATTCAATGGCGATTAAAAAGTCAAGTACTCGAAAAATTCCACAAAATTTGTGAGAAATTATTATTATCTTTAGAGAACAACAGCAAAACGTAATAGAATATATTTATAATAATAATATTTTATATAATTTTTGCTGCTTAAAAGTGGTCATAAACAGGTACAAATCCTTATCAAAGGCTATTGAAGTTTAGGAATGCGAAGAAGAAATATTTAAAGTGGATGTTTGGAATTAATTTTGCCAATTTGCTGGCTTACGGAAGGATTAGGAAGTTTGTTATCCACTTAGCAAATACCATTGATAAAGGCCTTTCCTCGAATTGGTAAATGTCTAGACATGACTTATGTCAGATATTTGCAARTTAACTGTACGTTTGAATATAACTTGATATTTTTCCTATCACAAAAGTATAAAAAAAACAGATATCGAAAAGTTTAATTCTTTCTGTATATTCAAAAATATAGAATTTAGCTTTTTTTGGAGGAGGAAGCTTGCAGAAAAGAGAAAACTTTAGACTTCAGGCTTGACGAAAACCAGCAGTGTCTGTCACTAGAATGAAGGATTACAAGATGCATAGGCTCATGAAGATGCCATAGCATATTATTTCTAGACTCTCATCAAGGAAACATGCCCTAAATTGGAAGACCTACTTGAACTTAAATCCGTGTTGATAAGCATCAGTAAAGTTATACTCCAACTTCGTCATCTTTTCGAACATTTTTGTCGAGCCGTCATTGATAGTTCGTAAATTATTAGAATTATCTACGAAGTTTCTTATACGCTCAGACAGGATCGTGTCATACAGCCATGAACGTTGGAATTCTTCAATCGTCGAGGCATAAAAAGAGAGTATTGGAAAAAAACACAAGGGAAACAAAAAGAAAAAAACTTCATGAAGGCGCCAGACATGATTTTTATGTCAGTATGGGCAAATAATACGAAAAAATGAGATTGTTTGATTTTTTTATTTTCGTCATCTCCTTTTCTGCTATCCTTCTCCTTCTCCTTCTCCTTCTCAAATTTCAGATATCAAAACCCTTAACGACTGTTGAGTCCACTTCTACATCGCCATCCTCAGTTCCCGCCAAATTTGTACCTGGCAACCGTTGTCAAGGACGCTGTCAAGCAGAAATCTTCATGTCAGCTTCACATGCAGCATCCATCCAAAATATTGACATTCTTTACACACAAAAGAAACTTAAAGTCGGACATTTCAGTTGGATACAAAAGTTGCTTTTAATTGAGTAGATTTAATTTAATTTAGAATTGTTTTTCAGACAGAGTATTTACTAGTCTCCTACGCAGCCGCTATTAGTTTCGTCACGCAACGCTACTTAGGGGAGTGAGCGTGRCGTGACGACACTAATAGCGGCTGCGYAGGAGACTAAGTATTKACGGTACGTTGTTCATGRTGTTCATAAGAATTTTTTTGCAACCAAGTTAGGTCACAGAGCAGAAATTAAATTTCTAAATCGAAGAATATCTTAATATATATGTAAAAAGTATGCAGAATTGAAATATAGCAGCATTGAGATCCATTTGGCGCGCGGCTTTTTGGCGCGCGGCTTTTTGACAAAGGACTAGCGCTAATTCAGTCGTCGGACTTCGCCCGTTTTACTGTTCTCACCAGTGACCTCATCGATCAAAAATTCCATTGACAGACCATCTCAGATGATTTAGAAATAAAGTAGAATTTAACACCTTGTATGTACAGAATCTAGACTTGTTACAGGTCAGTAGTTATAAGTTATAAGTAATTGTTCCTTCATCGATTAATTTCTTGAATAGAACTGTAAAATTGAAAATGTCAGAGTTGAACTGTCATTAGTCRATTGCGAACTTAAAAAAGGAGGCATTTTTCTATCATCAACATCATCAATTCGCTATATATTTCTTGCATTGTGTGACGAGCAAGTTTTCAAATGATCTAATAATTATATATAATTGGCCTGACTGCTATGTTGTGAGTGATACCCTACAGTGATCAAGTTATGTAACACTGGCTTATGCAATTATAAATTCTCCAACCTTGGGTAGTATACTAGCTRGTAGTGAACGTGCAAAGACACACGCTCTGGTTTTCTAGGGACAATGCCCCCTGCTCTGAAGTTGTCTTACTTATTACAAGACATCCATTATAAGATGATTAAAGATTGTTGAAAAAAGTATGGTTTTAACTTTGGGAGGTAACCTACTCTCCCTTCAGGACGTTTAAAGGCATTTGAAGAATCAAAAAAAAAAAAAAAAAAAAAGAGTTTTAAACTGAATGCAAAAAATCTATAATGTCTAGTTTTATTATAACGAACTGTAACTCACTCCAAAATTCATAAAAAAAGATAAATAAGCCGATTGTGTAATTGCTAATGTATAATTTGACTATTCATTTAACCTACGGTTCAGTTTGGGACGTTCGGTCAAAGAAATTAAACGTGAAACAATTCCAACTATTTTTTATAAGAAATGGCTGTCATTCTTTAATAGTACAACAAGGACTTGACCTTTGATGACGGCGAAAAACGAGTGCAAAAAGTACCTGAAAATGGCGCGCTTTTATACGTGAGGGAAAGTCATTAAAAAGCGATCAGGATTGTGTAGACGTAGGGTGCTTATTCCTCGTATTGTCCAATCCTGTCCCGGCGTGTGACTTAAGCTAGTTGATAAAAATCTTCTCTTGTCATTGYGTAAATACTATAAACATGTTTTTTGCATTAGTAGGTCTCCCCTTTAGCGATACATTAAYTGCAATCTTAACTTCATCCTTATGTGAAGAAAAGGCAAATGTCAAACTAATATGGAAATACAGCATTTTCTTTTACGTTGGTTTTAAAAATTTCCTAATGCAAAAAATTCTGCCAGCTCAATTTAGACAGTTACTTGAGGATAGTTTTCGATGTATTATAAGTTTGCTTTATTTCGGTGTTTATATGTAACACCGGATGGTTCTAATATRTTATATCGTCACTATCAGTTAACTTTCAGGGCGTTTATCAGTTGTTAGTGAGACATATATTCATTCTACACCTTTCCATATGTTCGTAGTTAGTTACAGGCAAGCTTGTTGCCATGGATTCAAGATAACAAGACATTTCTTCATCACTTTAGTATTGTGGCACCATTTCTCGCCCGTTTATCCTTCGTTATTAATTCACGACTCTTGAAAATACCATAATTTCTAGAATTTGCAGGCTTACTCTCACTTTTGAAATAAAAAACAAAAGCAGAAGTTAGAATAACAAAATTGAAACTACAACTCCTAGTTTTGATGCTAAGACTTCATATAGAAAATGTTTTTTTATTAGTCGTAAATAGGAGAATTATAGAAACATTTTCATTGCCATAAAATTCGACTTTTACATTAATTGGAATAAGATTAATGACAAGGGAGTAATTATAATCTCATAACTTTATAAAGGATTGCAACATTTGCAGCTCGGAAGCCATGGTCTTCTAGCCTCGCTCTTTCACATTTACCTAATCTCAAAAAGACAACATTGAAACACACTTTTAATACGTAATATTTTTATTATCAAATGGTGCTTGTTGTTTAAATAATATGGCTTTTGTACAGAGTTTAGCGACTTCCAAAATCTGCAAGACTGTTCTAAATCTTTAGATTCTGGCGGTCAATCCCGAAATGATTTTAACTCTTAGCTATTTTGAAATCAAGATTCGTATTCATTAATTCTAGGCAATTTCGTTTATAAATATTTTACTCCTTAAATGTTGACTTAATTTTACATTATGAACCGTTGATGAAAGGTTATAAAAAAATCAATAACAGTTGAGTGTCTTACTAAAACAATGTTTGACCAAGTATTAGGAACTTAGAGAATTCGCTTTCAAAAGATAGAACTAAATGCAAGAAAAGAGGCATTGTTAAAGTAGGGCTTTCTTTTGAGGCCATGACATCTCAAACCTTATCAATTTATTTCTTAAAGCCAATACATTAAAACTTGTTTTTCTTTGCGATTTTCTGATTTTAAAACTTCTCTATCTTTGCCGCGCCCATGGTTTACGCTCTTAAAGCCTGGTTTCCATATGATCGCTCACGATCGCCGGATCGCTGAAATTATTGATGCATGAATCGCTCACGATCGCTATCAGTTTCTGGCATATGTTTCCATAAAGTCGCTGAAGTTTATGCTACAGTGAGCTCCACTTGAGTTTGTGGCTCTTTTATGAGCCAACGTATATGGTAAGTTGTAATCCATATGAGCCACGCGTGGTAGCATAGCGTTTTGACAACATGGCGGACGAAGAAAGCGTCTTTCTACAAGGAAGCGCTGTTCTTCTGCTTGCTTTAGCCAAGCGAAGATCACATTTGAAACAGAAAAGATCTCATCGTTTTTGGGTGAGACATGTCTTCAAAAACAGAAAACAGCAAGGTCTTTACCACAACCTATTCGATGAGCTTCGACTGTTTGATCGAGAATATTTTCCATTAAGGCTGTACTATCATGACTTTCAGCCATATTGTGTAGAAATAACTTGAACTCAAGATCAATCTAGAATATACAGTCTTCACGCAAGGCCAATGTTTTGTTTTGTTTAGAGCGTCGCTATGACTACCACTGCTGAAAGATGCGTTATGGAATACATTTCGATCGCTCGATCGCTGAAATGTGTTTCCATATAATCGCTAACGATCGCTCACGGTTGCTCACGATCGCTCGATCGCTGAAAAGTGTTTCCATATAATCGTTCACGATCGCTGGCATCATTTTCAGCGATCCGGCGATCGTGAGCGATCATATGGAAACCAGGCTTAAACTTAAACGCTTAAACCCCCCTTTTAGGAAATAAGCTTTTACGACTTCATAAACTCTTATTTGATARACCTATGCAGCTTCAACAAAAATATATTTTAACTTGTGACAGCTAAGCTAAATATTCAAAAAAAGCTTTATCGTATTATAAGAATCGTATTATATTTGCTAGACCGAAGTTTGATTTCGCGTTTTGCATTTTGATATTCTAACTTTGAGTTATTTTAAGTGTTTGCAATTAACTGTGCTTTAGCTCTGTACGAACTTTTGAAAATATTCCGTGGTTGTCCTAGCACTACTAAAACACGTATAAGCACCGTGTTTTGTGTAATACTTTGACTACTAATGACTAGACAATCTTACTTTTAATTGTCTGTGGGATTGAATATCATAATGAACCTATATCACGGTGTTATTGAGCGGTTTTTGTTTGAGTGGGAAACGATGGGGAAAACTAGAATTGAAAACAAGCAATGGGAAGCCATTTCAATGTTACGGCATGTCATACAGTGCACTCATACGGTAACCATTCTTACATGTAACGTACGTTTCCCACTCATACGATAATCCGTATTGATAATGGGAAACCATTTCAATATTACTGCATGTCGTACTGTGTACGTGCTTGTAAGCCAGTGCCCATTGTTTCCCAATCATACGAAACCGCTCAAACGTATGGTGACTGTAAGGGCGATGACTTTGAATTGATTTCGTTTGTTACGTAATTTTGCTCCTAGCTCTTCATAAATGAACTATTTGAATAATTCTGTGTAATTGATTTATAAAAATGCGCTTGTAAACAAACGCTCACTGCACCTGTGGTGGYGGTGGGCAGATCGTTTCAAAGGGTGGGGCTTGGAAAAATTGTTGTCCATTCATYGTACCGTTAATACCATTCAGAGGCGGTGTTCCAGGCCCTGGCATGGTAGGGAATGTGAAGATCTGGCCGGCGTTGTTGCCTGTTGGAGATGGCACGTACGTAGTAGTACTGGTCGGATACGGAGGGGGGTAGGGAGGGTAAGGCTCGTACATTGGATACACAATCATCATTGCATTGCCGTTGCAATCGACGTAACAAGGTTGCTGGAATGCTTGCATTGATGGGGCGAGCTGCCCGTTTGGTGATTGAGGTGGAATCATCGTTATTGGACTGATGGGATTTGGTGATGGCGCTTGCGTTGGTGAATAGATTGGTGTAGCGTAGACGTACTGTGGAGATGGCCTGCAGAAAAACAAAACAGTCTTTGCATTAATTAGCGAACGAGACACTGCCTTCATGTTGTTTTTTTTTTTTTT